GGTACCTTCTTCAAAATGTTTCCGCGGAAGCAGATTTCGGCGCCTCTCCAACGTCCTCCAGGCCCATCCGATCTTTTTTGGAGAAGCGACGGAAACAGACCCCTATCGGTCCGAAGCCGAACGCGGTGTGATGGCCGCCGCCGCCGCCATCAAGTGCCGAGTCACGGGCGCGGCGGTGGCGTGCGCCGGCGGCTGTGTGCGCCGTACACACGCACCCACTGCCCGCCGCAATCAGTCACCGGCTTGTTTAGCCTGACCACACGTTTGTCGGCCCGGCCGCCATCGACTCAACCCTCTCACCATTGGAGCGGAGGACCGCAGGCCCCGCCCACCGGCGGAGCGCCGTCGGCCAATTACCACTCAACCCTTTCGGACGTCGACCAATCAGCGCGCGCGGTGCCAACCCTTCTGCCGTTGGCCGGCGCGGAGCGAGGGGCGGGTCTGAAGCCGACTCCAGCCTTCTCCGCCGGGTTCCCCATTGCGTCGAAAGGGATGGGCGGGACGGCAGACACATCCGACGCACGTTAAGTGAATGTGAAATGATGTGATGTGATGTGAAATTAATGTCATATTTGATTGAGGATCCGATACATGTCATCAGTGCGAAACATGAAGAGCACGAGTCATGCTTTGTTGGAGACTGAAAGTGCACGTGCCACCCATCCACATTCTACGCGACTGGTCGGAGCAGGATCCCACAACTCTTCATGAAATATGCGCATTTGAATGCGCGCACGTGGCGCCACCCGGCGCTTACGATGTGTTACGATAAAGGCAGGCTCCCCATCAGTTGAAAACACCTGCCCAGCTGCGCGTAGCGCTTCAAAGAGGTGTATGAGGCTCAGGCCCAGGCGCTGAGGGGAGGGGCGAGGGAAACAAACACCGCCCAACATAATCAGCGAGACTCTATAACGGACGGCCCTTTCGGGAATTTCCATAATTTTTGTTGGCATATTTAATGAGCAAAATAATTTCAAACCTAGTATATTGCTGCATGACAAAAACCTGCGATGGACTTAGCTGACAACAAGATGCAATTTTACGCTGTTTTTGAAGGAAGTACAATCATGTGCAAAACTTGATGAAATTTAATGAACTTCAGCTCTAAAAAATTAGACGCTGCGAAGAAAATATTTCACGTAAAAAGTGCTGATATTGGCCGGTTTTCCGCGATGTGGCGACTTAATATTGATGTGTCTGACAACGAGAGAACAAAACTTTCAGTGAGTTGGGGATGGAGACAGAGGAGACAGGAGCTCTCCACGGCGCTGTAAAGATACGCCCTTATGGCCATATCCCATCTATCGATGGATGAAATAGCTTTGAAAAAAAAACGAATAACCACTTCCTTGCAAGTTGCATTTAAGTCTCACAATGCAAGTACTGGTTGACCACTAACGGCAAGGGCGGGGTTATTCGGTGCTCTTGATAGGTTCCGCCTGAGCTGGCCTCGCGCGCCGCGCCTGACGCACGGCCGGGGCTGTTCGGTGCTCTCGACAGGCTCAGCCTGAGCTGGCCTCGCGCGCCGCGCCTGACGCACGGTCGGTACACAGAGGTCGACCTGAGCGGCGTACCTGCGCCGTCACCGGAGCGGGTGGCGTCGGGGCTGGTCGAGGCAGCGGCGGCGGGTGGGAGCGCCGCGAGTGGATCGGGGGAGGCCCGGGGAGGGCAGGCACGCCGCCGGTGGACAGGGACAGGACCGGGGAGGGCAGGCACGCCGCCGGTGGACAGGGGGCGGGCGGGCGCAGGTCGCTCACCTCTGCCGGCTGGCCGGCGAGCATTGTCCACCAGCGACGCCGGCGCACAGGGTCGGGCCCGTCCGCCGCCGGCCGCGGTAAAGACCAGCGTCTGGGACCAGCCGGACCAGCGTCGTCTGACCAGCGTCTGGGACCGGCCGGACCAGCGTCGTCTGACCAGCGTCTGGGACCGGCCGGACCAGCGTCGTCTGACCAGCGTCTGGGACCAGCCGGACCAGCGTCGTCTGACCAGCGTCTGGGACCAGCCGGACCAGCGTCGTCTGACCAGCGTCTGGGACCGGCCGGACCAGCGTCTGGGACCGGCTGGACCAGCGTCGCCTGACCAGCGTCTGGGACCGGCCGGACCAGCGTCGCCGACTGCCCTGGCTGGCGGCGCTGGTCAGCCTGCGCGGTCGGTGTAAAGCGTGACGCGATCACCAGAAGTCGAGGTGACGGCGAACATGAGGAGATGTCAAGCGATGTGACACGTGACACGCGCAGAAGCCCTTCAACAGGCTACCGTGTCCGGCAAAGGGACAGCGGCTTCCAATTTTAACATTGCCTGGTATTCTCCCTCGAGCACCGAGAGAAAATTGTGTATAAGCCTTCTGACGATGCATGTGGAATCGGATTCAAAAGCTCCTCACCCCCTCTACATGCTGCCTCTTCAGAGGTCCCGTGCTTCTCCCTGGTCTTTCGATTTTTGATTCCCTCCGTCGCCGCCTCCCCCCCCCCCCCCCGCCAAGAAGCAATTGAACTAACTAAAGCAGTTTTAGAAATCGCGGGAGGCACGTACAATCTTCAAGAGTCTATGTAAGAAATCACCCCTTCCTGGTGATTTTAGTGGGGCTCCGTTCCTGCTCCGACACAACCACGCGAGAGAGGTTACCAGACCAAACCTGTTCCTACTGGCCAGCCCTGCGGCGGCAACCGCGTCCGTGGGCGCCGGCACCAGGACCGATAATTGGGGAAGGAGGGCCTTCTGTATCGTTTTACGTATTTCCTATCTATCTGGTTTACAATCGCAAATTGACTCTAACGTCTACAGTGTCAGAAGTGACACAAGCTAGTGCTGAAGCATCGCCATCGGTTATCGCTGATTAAAAAATTATTTACACATGTATATCTGAACATGAATCGAGATGAAGATTTCCGTCAGCTCGTTGTCTGCGTCTATTTTTCACATCCAATCACGAGGCGTTTTTATGTAGCAGCATTTGGAAATTCGCCTGGGCTTGCCGAGCCACATGAAGGTTTCCATGGCTTCACGCTTCTACCCCTGGTGACCCCTCCCTGGTGGCAGCCCTCTCGCGTCGCGAACGCAAGCCTGCCCGATTGTTATCCAACCCCTTAAAAGCGTGCCACCCCGTTTTCCCTGGATGTGAGCTGGTTTTCTACCTCACACCCGGCCGCTTTAAGCCGGCGCTAATCCCGGTGTCGGCTGGTCCGCCCCCTCCGCGGCACGTGCGCCCGACCCCGCTCTCACAGCTGGGACGGTGCAGCAGCGCCGGTGGCGTGTGGCTGGCAGCAGGGCCGGCCGCAGCGGGCCCGGACGCACCAGCCGGCGCTGGCCGGGCCGGACCGAGCGCGGCTGGGGCTCCTTACGCGGTCAGCAGGGCCGGCGCGCGCCCGACCTGGCACCGCGGCGTGAGCCTGCTTGGTGTCCGACGACACGCAGGCGTTGGACATGGGATGATAGACGTAGTGGTGACAGAAGCTTTACAATTTCAAGTTTCAACACTTAAAGTGCAGGCTGTACCGATTTGTATGCAGACACTGCGTCTGCAGACCCACATCCCGAGAGCTGTCCAGACCATACTGGTTGCACTGCGGAGAAGGCTGGAGGACGTTGAGATCGGATCAGAAATGATGCATCAAGCAGCTACACGAACAAAGAACGCTCGTCGATCGCTGATTGACTGGTGCATCGTGCACACCAGCATCACTGGACAGCACGCTTTGGGAGAGTGAGCGAACCGGTCCGCAGGCGTCATACGACAGCCACGCGCAAATGGAAACAGAAGTGAACATTCACTGCGCTGCCAAGCGAATGCGCTGGACGTGCAGAGTCCCGCCGCCATATCCAGCGACCGCAGCCCAAATCCAGTAACCTAACGGGGGAAAGGCCACCGTCTACATGGCGCGCCCAGGCTGTTCTGTGCGCTGACGCCTTACACGACGTTGGGGACGCGTCTGAAGCTGTCGGGCCCAGCGTCGCCCGTCACGCCGCACCCCCGACCACCTGGCCCCCCGCGGACGACCTTGGGGCGCTGTCCGCCGGGGAAGAGCCCCGCGAACACGGCCCCGTGGCCCCCCAAAGCAGCAGAGCCACGGCCATCGTAGGAGGCCGGCCGAGATGGAGCCGCAGCCCATTAATCACAGCGCATAATGGCATAATGGAGACCCGGATCGGCGGCCGAAATTAGACGGCTTGATCCGCCTGGCAGTGATATCAGCGGCGATAACCGCGGGGAAACAGAAACGAAGCAGAAACAAATGCCGCCGGTGATTAACAGGTCCGCCGGCGCGAAGGACGGCAAAAGTTACCCATCGAGAGCACACCAAGGGTCACAGGGAGGTCTGAGCCAGTTCATTAGAGATGTGGTGCGCTGCCACGCTTTATCCACGCTTCGTGCCGCATGCTGAGTGCGGGAAACATGTCAGCTTTTTAAAAATAAAATGAGCTGCGCAACTTGTTCAGTCGCATCGGGTTTGTTTGACGATAGCACTAGATTGTGTTGTGTTGATTCTCTTTTTCAAAAGCATGCACACACATATATGAAATAGCCCACATACCTTGAGCTACTTGTGAAGGAATATTTACGCTGTGAGCTCACGTAATGAGCTGCCCCACATAACACCCGGAAGAACGGCGGATGGATTACGCCAAACTTCGCTTTCAATCTCCGTATCCGCTTGCAGTCATGAGACAAGAATGCTTGTGTAGACCTCCCGCACCCTTGAGGAGACTCCAACCCCTATGCTCGTGAACTTGACATGGAGCCCGCCGCCATTGTGGAACATAAAAGCCTGTCGCAAGCAGCATTTTCCAATGACAGACACAACATTATGCGTGTCATGTGCAACTGAGGAGTGTGTCATTTGTCGCGCTATCTTAAACTACGATACCGAAATCCTAAGCTTTCCGCTGCCTCATAATCCAGTGCCCATTATGGACGACCTCGCCATTCTCAGTCAGACTAAGCAACACTGGGTGTCGGACTTTGACCCACACATGCGATCAGAAGCCTATCCAGTACTTACTTGTCCGTGGTGATGATGAGTATCTGGCTTCCCTTCACCTGTAAACACGAGATATGGTGTCAGCCCCGGCACACATGGAAGAAAACATTGCGATAGTCTTAAACTCACGAATTGAGGTGGTCTAAGTAAGCTAAGCCTCGATACACATCTGGGCAAATGGTCAATCACTGAAAAGTTTAACTGGAATTGAGGCGACCAGATGGCTGTTAGTCTTATAACCAGATGATTATAAGGCTGCTTCCGCGTACCGGGTGGGCGAGGACGAGGACGACCTTATGACCTGAAGTCCAAACTCACCAAGCTACAGCTCTGACTGAACGCGCGCCGAGCAGCGCGGTCCTATCACCACCCAGTGGTCCTACCACCTGCTACCCAACGGTCCAATCGCCCGCCACCCGGCAGTCCTACCACCTACCACCCAGCGCCCCGATCGCCTGCCACCCAGCGGTCCTACCACGTACCATCCAGCGGTCCTACCACCTGCCACCCAGTGCTCCTACCATCTTCCACCCAACGGTCCAGTCACCTGCCACCCAGTGGTCCTACCACTTTCCACCCAGTGGTCCTACCACGCACAACACAGCGGTCGTCCTACCACCTGCCACCCAGCGGTCCTACCACCTGCCACCAGCGCCTCCCGCAGCGCCTGCCCCGGCGGAGCGAGCCCGCCCACTCGGTGTCAACGTCCACCCCAACCCATTCACGCGAACCGGTTCCGGGTGCTCCCCACGGCGAAGGTCGATTTCACTCTCGCGGGCCGAGAGTAACCTTGCCCGTGCCGTTCACCCTTTGTTTACGTGGCGTCACCCTTTGGCGGCCCCTGGCGGCCACCACTGACCCACATCTCGACGAGCCGCCGAGCGCCGCTCGCGCCCGGCACCGCACCGAGAGGAGCGGGGCGTCGCCGGCGCCTGTCTCGGAGCGGGAGCGGCGGACCGGGTCACGGGGCGCCCCGCAGCCGGGTCACGGGACGCACCAAAGTCGGGCCACGAGACACCCCGGGGGCACGGTGGGACTCGTTCGTGTACCGCCGTGACGTCGCGAGCCTGCGTATCAGATCAGCAGTATGTACAGCAGCCGGCTGGGAGCGCAGCATGTCGGCAACCCCACCGCGCGTGGAGGCCAGCACAGACGCGGTGGACACGAGACACGGACGGCCCTGCGTCCAGCCCGCCCGGCCGCCTGGCCGAACACGGCATGAGCAGGAACCAGCGCGCGGCGGCGGCGGCGGCGGCGGCGGCGGCGGGGGAGGGAGGGGGGAGGAGTAAACAACACAGGCGCGAGACTGCGGGCCCGCATGGCTGCAGCTGGGCACCGGGCGGGGCAGAAGCAGAGGGGAGGATCGGGAGGTGGGATCGGTGGCGTGGCTAGGATTTCGCCCAGGAAGGGCCGATTCGGAACATCCGGGCCTGTTCAGACAGGGGCCCCTGTTGTCACTGCCAGGGCACTGTTTTTATTTGGAGGGCCTTTTTAGGTTTGGAATCTTGTTTTGAAGCTCCGGTGTTCGTCAACCATGTTGAAGTTTAGAAGCCCTACGGGCACATAACACTGTCAAGAAGTACTGGAATATTTGGCCTCGGGAACTCTCGACACCTGTAAGCAGCGGGGAGGGGAAAGAAAGACTTAGTCCAAAAGCTCCCGCTTGTACACTGGATCTGATCACGTAGTGCAACAACGGACATGGCATATCAAACAGCCTGGGGTGGGGGGAGGGAAAGTGCTGCGTTATAGAAAGGTGGTACGTCGAGAACTTAAGAATTGACGCGACAGAAAGGGAAGGGACGTAGAAATAGAGGGAGGGATGGGAGTAAGAGGAAGAAGGAAGAGGTCAAGGCAGAAGCCAGGCAAATAGACAAACAAGCAAGAAAAAAGAGTAAAAGAGACCGAATTAAACAGAAACAAAACGGAAAGGGAAAGGAGGAGAGGAGGAAGAGCAGACAAACGGAGAGAGAAAGAGAGAGAGAGAGAGGGAGAGAAGAGAGAGAGAGAGAGAGCGAGAGAGAGAGAGAAGAGAGAGAGAGAGAGAGAGGGAGAGAGAGAGAGAGAGGAGAGAGAGAGAGAGAGGGAATGAGAGAGAGAGAGAGAGAGAGGAGGGACGGAGGGAGGGAGGAGGAGAGCGAGTAGGAGAGAGAGAGGGAGGGAGAGAGAGGGGAGAAAAAAATGGTACGCCGATAATTAAACGTGCAACTGAAAACAGGCGCAAACGAGGAAATGGGCAGCTCAAAAACGGATGCTCAAGCCCCGGTAAGAAGCCGAAAAACGACAGATACTTTGCCTGGCATGCGACGCGCCATCCGCCAATATCGGCTTGCATTCCACACGGGCACGTGAAGGGCCAACCGTCCTCTACGGTTCATTCGTTATCGCAGAGGAAACCTTCGACGCCCTGATGACACGCGACGAATGGGACGCGCCTGCCACGCCAGACCGTTGAAGCGCGCGGCGCGCCGGTGCGGGGGCGGGGTCGGACGCGGACTGCGCACCTTTGGCCAGTCCTCGCCGGTTGATCCGGTGACGCATTGTGCGGGGGCAGCGGGGGCGGAAGGCCCGCTGCGTGTTGCCGCCGCTGTTTACGCCGCTGCTGTTTGTCAGCCGCGCGCGAGAGGCGTGCACAGGCCGTTTAAATTTGAACCGGCGGGCGCCGGGGGCCAGAGGCGCCACCAGACGTCGCTGAGGTGCGCCTCCGGGCTGGCTGACCAGTGGCGAAGGGCCCGGAGAGCGGCTCGATCCCTGACGGCTGGGGATCTCGTAGTCGCGGGAGACCGCCCGCCAGGGCAGTGTCGGAGGAGTTCAGAGCTGGCTTTGTATTTTGTTTGTCGTAAATGTCTTTTACCACCATAACTACAGTTTTCATGTGAAATTCAGGTTTTATGACTCTGCGATTTCTGCCCGCCGCTGCCGCAGAATGTTCGGCAGTTGCTCGCCTGGTAAGCGCGCCACGATGGCGAGTGGTGAGAGAGCGGAACACGACTCTCTGGCCGTCCGGTGTTAAGTCGAGGCATCAACTGAAAGCGAGCAACGCTAGTCGTTCACTCCATCACCAGATTGTGCTGGGTTCGTCACATCAGACCCCAAAACTTAATCTGGTTTCGGTTGGAGAGTAAAAACAGACCTCACGTGGCTCTTAAGTGGGATATCAAATGCATCGTCCAGTTCAACGTTTCTTGAAAAGCATGTGCTCTCTGTTGTGGGATATTACAACAGTTACTTTCCTGGGTTGCGCTGGGTTATCAGCCACGAGAAGTTAGACAGCACGATACATTTGATATCCCGCATGAGTCACGCGATGTATGCTTTTAATTCTTATTTGTTCATCGAGAAAGCTTCCTTTGCGGTAGTCATTGAACATGCCATACTAGATACGTGAATATACATTTTTAACTTGAATAAATGTTGGCATCTCATTTAAAGAGATAGGGGCCGCCATTGGGTTGTCCTCTTAAGTTATCCCAGCGCGAGCAGAAAGTTTTGACTGCGATTTTTAAGTCCAACCAATGCCTAGCATCTGGCGGGTTGTTCCTTCTGCATTCGGTCTTCGGCCGATACACCATACGCACTGCAATAACGAAACACCGCTTTACTAGAGTACCACTGGAAGGTATGTGCTTTTTCACATAGGCACGTGCCAAGACAGTGTCTGTACTACATTGTAACCAGGAAAATCTTGACATAGGGAAATGTACCAGCTGAATTCGGAGGGCTTACGGCAGCCTCTCACGTGTATGATAACGGCTGTTTTTCGGTAGACCTTATCCCTTTAACATAAAACGTGTGTGATGTTACACCACATCCTTATGTTCTCCATAACTCATATCAGGGACACGCCACTGTAATCATAATGAAGGATGATACATCAGCTGTCATTGATAAGCCGGCCAGCCAAAAGCATAGATAAATTAGTAAGATAGGCATCAATCTGTTATATGCTTACTAGCGGTTGGCCTCTAGCGGTTATATGCTTACTAGCGGTTGCTCTCAAACAGACGCATCCCAATGAAAGACACGCTTAACCAGCGTCCCGCACACCCACACACGTACACGCACACGCACATACGCATACGCACGCATGCCACGCACACGCGCACGCATACGCACACACATATACACACACAGCGCTCTACGCATTCACGTTAAAGAGGACAACAAGCATGGCGTCTCGTTCCCTCCTGGGCTGGTTTACCTCCCAGTAGTGGGCTCCTCAGATCACAGTCCACGCCGCCGATGGTGACGTCAGACTGCCATGGACAGACCGCCGGATGCGTGACGTCACGCCGCCTCGGCGCGCTGAGTTGCCGTCGGCCGGGGTCGGCTTGCTCTACCTTTCCTTTTTCAGCCCTGCCGTACTGCCCCTCGGCTCTGTGCCGCCGCTGAGACCAGGCCTGCCCTACAGCACCTCGGCTCTGTGTTGCCGCCGAGACCAGGCCTGCCCTACCGCACCTCAGCTCTGTGCCGTCGCTGAGACCAGGCCTGCCCTACCGCACCTCGGGTCTGTGCTGCAGCCGAGACCGGGCCTGCCCTACCGCACCTCGCGTCTGTGCTGCCGCCGAGACCAGGCTTGCCCTACCGTACCTCGGCTCTGAGCTGCCGCGTCTCCAGACCGGTCAACCGCGATTCCAGCCCGCGCGTTCTGACCGGGGTCCACTCACTCACTCATCTGTTTATTCGCTCGATCACCCACATACTTCCCCATTCGCGCACTTACGTGCGTGCCGCGCACGTACACACACACGCTCACTAATTCACTCGCGTACGCACGCACGCACCACGCACGCACGCCAGCACGCACGCGCTTACTCACTCATGAACCCACCTGCACTCACCCAAACGATCTATTTGTGAACCACTCATGCACTCACGACCTCACACTCACTCGCCCACCCACTTACTTCCTCAGTCACTCACTCACTCACTCACTCACTCACTCACTCACTCACTCACTCACTCACTCACTCACTCACTCACTCACTCACTCACTCATTCACTCACTCACCCACTCACTCGCTTACTCACTGACTGTTTCACATACCCACACACTCATTTTTTGCCCTCTCTCTCCCTCACTCTCTCTCTCTCTATCTCTCTCTCTCTCTCTCTCTCTCTCTCTCTCTCTCTCTCTCTCTCTCTCTCTCTCTCTCTCTCTCTCTCTCTCTCTCTCTCTCTCTCTCTTCTCTCTCTCTCTCTCTCTCTCTCTCTCTCTCTCTCGCTTGCATTGTTCTCATTATACCGCCTCTTTGCCTCCCCACTCCACTTTTCTGATATCCGACAACTGACGGCACGCTCTCTGATTGGTTCTGCAGGCGTCCCCGGAGACGTGAGCAGCTGCCAGTCTGCAGACGTGAGCAGCTGTCAGCCTGCAGACGTGAACAGCTGTCAAACAGCTGTCAGCCTGAAGACGTGATCAGCTGTCAGCCTGCAGACGTGAGCAGCTGTCAGCCTGCAGACGTGAACAGCTGTCAAACAGCTGTCAGCCTGAAGACGTGGGCAGCTGTCAGCCTGTAGACGTGATCAGCTGTCAGCCTGTAGACGTGAACAGCTGTCAAACAGCCGTCAGCCTGCAGACGTGAATAGCTGTCAGCCTGCAGACGTAAGCACCTATCAGCCCGCAGCCTGCCCGTACCACGTCTCCGCCCGTGGGACCCGTGTGGTGGTCCTGTGATCAAACCCGCGGCTCCCTCCCGCCACCGGACGCCAAGGTCCCGGCGGCCTAACCACGAGCGCCGCGCCAGCGCTCGTGGTTAGGCCGTGGTCCCGCCGGCGGGCCCGGGCCGCCGTCCGCCGGGCCGCCGCGTCACACCGGCCTTCCTGGAACGGGCCGGCGCGCGCCACGGATTGTGGCTCTTCCGC